TCCAACTACACATTTGGTAGGAAGACTATGGTGCATACTGACCATAAACCGCCCATGTCAATAGCTAGTAAACCTTTACACGGTGTCCCTCGACGTCTTCAATGAATGCTTATCCGACTTCAAAAATACCATATGGGTCTAGCGTACACTCCTGGGACGCAAATGTTCATCGCGGACGCTCTGTCCAGAGGTCATTTTCCGATAGTCAAACACCCACAGGAAGTAATCGAGGCAGTCAATCTGGTACATTTGACTGTAACGACAGATCACCTGAAAGAGATAGAACGTCATACCGATACAGACGACATGCTTTTGGGCGGATGGCCAGCTACAAAGGATAAAGTTCCGAAGGAATCAACGCCGTTCTCCAACTTTCGGGATTAACTCTTGGTGTATGATAGTTTGCTGTTTAAAGGAAATCGCCTTTTTATCTCACCGCCACTTCGCAAGGAAATGCTAGAACACGCTCACCGAGCCCACTTGGGTATCAACTTAAGCATTAGTAGCGCACGCAAACTGATGTTCTGACCCGTGACGACAAATGAAATCCGAGATCATGTATCAAACTGTTCAGCCTGCCAGTCCTACGAGGCTCGCCAAACTAGGACACCATTGGTGTTGCGTGGGATTCCAGATCGACCATAGCAGAACTTATCGGTGGACTTGTTCTGTGCCAATGGGAATGACTATTCAATCACTGTGGACTAGTATGATGACTATTTTGTGATCGATCCATTCACCGCTACCACCACGAAAGCAGTCATCAACAAGCCTAGATATCAGTTCACCAAACACGGAATACCGGAGCGAATGATCTCCGACAATGGCCCGCAATTTATAAGTGCTGCATTCCAGATCTTTGCGAACAAGTGGGCATTTTTGCATTGACAAACTAGCCCGTATCACAGTCAGTCTAACGGAAAGCAGAGGCAACGGTCAAACAAGCCAAGAGGCTGTTGTCGGAAGCCAGAGCCACTCATGAGGACCCTTGTCTAATGTTCTTGGAGCTTCGCAATGCCTCATCACCGAATATCGGTCTCAGTATAGTGCTACTTTTGTATAGCAGAAGGACAAGAACCCTAATGCCTGCATCTGCTGAACTCTTACATCCTGTCTCGCTGGCGCATGAGCAACTGCAAATGGGCTTGGGAAAACGGATGGCAGGTCAAAAACGGTATTACGACCGCAGGACTCGAGCGCTTCCAGAGCTATCATTAAATCATGTACTATGGATTCAACCAACACCGGGTGTCAGCGAACAATGGAAGAAAGGTGTGGTGAACGCGAAGGTTGGAGAAAGATCTTATGCAGTCAGTACCGGAGGGAAGCTAATCAGAAGGAACCGACTGCAGCTGAGGCGACACCGGGAACGAGGTGAACCTGCAGCGTGACTCTTGCTGCCTTACAGAGAGGTCACAACGACAGGCAGCAAGGACGACGCGGAGCGGAAGAGCGTACATAGTTTTCTGCGACACCGATGCAGCGGATCCCGAAAATGGGAAGGATGTGACAGGATTGTGCAAACAAACGGTTGGCGTGCCCCAAGCGAACAGAGCGGTTGCTTAGACGCCTGCGCATATTTCGTCTACGCGCTGATTGGTTCGTTGGAGCAGGTTTGTTTAACTGTTTCAAAGGAAGAATCTCATGAGTGCAACAGCGCCGTTAGTTATGGAAATGACCTGGTTATTTATCTCGAGGTCCCTACATGTTTATCAGGCTGTCATTTTTGCTGAACTCGATTTGCCGAATAAACGGTTTGTCCCCGAAGGATCGAGTTCTGCGACAACCACAAGCTCCTTCTCTTGAGTGCTGTTCTTGCGCAGAAATCCACCAATGTTGTATGTAATATGGGTCTGTACCACCGCACATTTATCGCTCTTTGCTGGTAATCACCACTTGGTAGACCACTCCTGCAGCCTATTTAGAGCATATTGTAATTTGTCGGCATCGTCTGTGCTGGATACTGTTGACCGGAGCTTGAGATCATTAGCGTAGATCAAGCAGTGGGTTTGGAGTGCGACTGGAAGGTCATTTATGTACTTTGTAAAGTTCTGGTCCTAGTACCGATCCCTGTGGAACACCACTTGTCATTGGCACAGGGGTGGATGTGCTTTGATTGACCTTTACGCGTAGGCTACGGTCCCTTAGGAAATCAGCTATCTAAGAGAGGACTTTGCCTGTTCCATCGATCTCGTGAAATTTAAGCAGCAGTCCTTGGTGAGGAACTTTGTCAAAGGCTTTGCTGAAGTCGATGAAAACCACGTCTATATGTTTTTGGGCATTTATGGCTTGTGTCCAAGTTTCTCTGGCGACTAGTAACATGGAGACGCAAGAACGTGCTTTCCGGAAACCATGTTGTGATATGGAAATTACGTTAGAGTTCTCACGGTGTAGATGGAGCCTGCGTTTGGAGATTCCTTCCATGGTCTTGCAGACGACGAATGTCAGGCAGATTGGTCCATAGTCTGCGTAATCCTGGTGGTCTCCACTATTGTACTTAGGCATCACTGTGCCTTCTTTCCAATCAGTGGGTAAACGGCCGACTTCGAGGGAGTAGTGGCATATTTGACAGCGAGGATCAGCAATGTATTCGGCCATAGTCTAGAGTAATACTGAATGCAGCTCATCGGGGCCAAGAGAGGGGTATAGATCCAGTTCGAGGAAGTTCACCACTATTTCCGGGTTAATTTCGATTTGATCGAGAGAGAGACATCGTGCAGGCAGAGTTTCTGTGCAGAGGTCACTCCACTAAGTAGATCGAAGAGTACTGTGAAGCTCGTCATTGGGAAGCACAGTGCCTTCCTCGGAGAGTAGCGTGGGGATCTCACTACCCGCCCTGACATTTTTCAGGTATGCGAAGAGTTTATTTGGAAAGGTTAGAGATTCCGTGGCCAAGCTGTGTTCGTACTGAAGTTGCTTGTTCCGCTTTTTCAGGATGCAGAGGTTTCTTGCAGCCTTGTATTCTGAGTAGCTTGATGTCAGTCGTGTGGTCTTGTAGTGATCCCATAATTTCCGTCCTCTTCATTAAGGATCTGGTTTCGCTATCAATCCAAGGACGGCCTTTGGAGTAAGGCCTGGCTTTGCAGTTTGGAACATATTGTGCGATAAGCAGCACCATCTTCATCATCATCATCAACAGCAGTACATCAGCCATTTGAACTGATGCTTCGCTGCCATACAACCACGATGACCTATGAAATAAAGAATAATAAGAGGGAGAGAAGGGGTGCTTGCCTGAAAACCTTAATGCCCTAACCAAACATTCAGGGTCAAGGCGCCTACACCTTGTGTAGACAACATACCGTCACAAACAGCTGGCTATCGTGCATAGATAAGGCGGCATCGGCGAGACAGCTTCCTTGCGGCTTTTATTGCCCCGCGTCCCAATCAGCCATTACCCCGCAGATAACTCAGCACCAAACAAACTTTTAACAGGCAACCTGACTAGGAGACGGCAGCAGATGCGCCACTGGTGTCGACTGCGAGCCATGTCCTGTAAAGTCTCGAGACAAGCACAAGGCGAGTCACGTGAACTCCAGCCCGGAAGGCGAGACGGACCAACGCCACCCAGTTCGGTCGTCAGTGACTTCATTTCCCGTTGCCAAGTCAACTTCTGTCCACCTCGAGCCTTGCGCCACCCTACACCTGGCAGACTAAACAAGGCCCTGCTAGGTAAGCGGTGACCATGCATACGTAGCACGTGTCCGATCCAACGCAACTTATTCAGTGCTATCTGTTGTTCTAGGGAGCTAGCATGATTATCACTGCCTAGTACTCGCCTACGCACATCATCGTTGCGGACACGCTGGTGCCATCCGACTCCAGCAATGCTTCGCAGACAACGATGATCAAAGACTTGAAGGCGCCTCAGCTCTTCAGACCGAAGGGGCCAAGTCTCACTACCATACAGCAGAACGGCCTTCACTGTGGCCTTGTATACCCGGACTTTCAAACAGAGGAACTCCCTTCTGTCGCCAAAGATGCCGCAAGTTCAAGAAGGTAGCTCTGGCTTTTGCAATGCTTGAGCTGACATCAGTTTCTATGCGCCCATCATTGCTGATGCAGCTGCCAAGATAAGTGAAATGATCAACCACCTCGAGTTCCTCGTTAGCAAGCGTCAAGGGATCATTAATTGGCTGGTGGTCCTGCAGCAACACTTTGCACTTTGAAGGTGCGAAGTGCATAACAAATAACGGGACCACTCTGGACTGGCTATTCAGGTATGATTGGGCCGCCGCAAAATCGTCGAAAAGCAAGACAATTTCGTCCGCATAATCTAGATCAACTTACCTTTCACCAGGCAGCACTTCAACGACTACATCATGAAATTCCGCAAGGGAACACTCCATGATAGAATCCACGACGAAATTGAACAAAAATGGGGAAATCGGACAACCCTGATGAACGCCACTTGTGGTCGCAAACATTTCGAACAGCATCGATCGATCGACTGAATCGAACGCACTCTTGAAATCGAGGAA